ATCTCTTTGAAATCTTTCACGGTAAAAACACTATGAAGAACGTTATTAAATTCCAGATCGTACCATGTGCGAGATGCGTGCGAGTCTAGAGGCAGAGAAGTTGCGTTTGCTCGAGGAAGTTCGCAAAGAGGCTGAAGACGAGAAGCTTCGATGTATCGAAGAAACCAAGCGAAAGCAATGGTGCGCCAAATGCGGACGGGAAGCGATGTTTTATTGTTGCTGGAACACGGCTTATTGCGATTACCCGTGTCAACAGTCACATTGGTCGATTCACATGCGAACGTGTTCCCAGCAGCCCACGTATACCAACCTCGTCGCCAGTTCGGGTGCAAATTCGAGTGCGCAGCAGGTGATGCCCAAACTCGTGTTAAGCGTACATCAAGCGACCTCGAGCGTACGGAAGGCCTAGAGTGGATTGGTGTAAGTCCCGGCGATTCAAACAGGAAGTTCGATAATTCGAGAATACTGTAAGGGAATATTAATGTAATCTATGTTGTTAGAAGTTCTTTCGCTCAGTTTATGTAGTTTAAGCGAATTGGATTAGGTAATACTGCGCTTATAAATTTATGACATAAGAAAATTGTGATGAAACGAGTAGAACAATAATAATACAAAAATACGAATCTATCTATGAAAGGAAAGGAATCGAGAGGCAAATATTATCTAAACCAATATATTTGTTGACACATTTCATACTTTGTCGGTTCCCCTATTGAAGTTCGATCCTTACAATTTGACTTACACTATTGATGCTCTGGACGCTTCAAAATGGACTTCTACTCTTATGATGCGATTGAATGCGCGTTTTTGACTGATTGTGCTGCAATGGTTTAGCAGCGTTCTTTACTTTTCAGAGCAGTAAGACCATGACGCACGACCCTGCGGGCAGGGTGTATGCTTTACCACCCAGCAAATTGAGCGGGATTCCGTCATCGTGGCCTGCTTCATCTCTTAAAAATAAAACTGATCAGGATATACTCTAGGCAAATCACGATTTATTTGTGATCGATAACCGATTCGATAATACTGGATAAAGAAAGTTATGGTTTTACATTGCAGTTAAATAA